AGCAGGCAGGGAATGGGGACTGGCAGGGGTCCCCTCATTGTCCCCTCCTCCATTCCCTACTTACCAGCTCGGAGTTGGCTCCAGCTCCCTGCTGCAGCCACCAGGGACTGCCCAAATCATCAAAGCTCTCTGAATCTCTTCCAAAGACAGAAAGCTTTGAATCTATTTGGACCTTTTTACTGGTCCCCTGATTCGATTTGGATTTGGAGATTCGGCCACCAAATTGGGCCAAATCTCCTCCAAATCAAATCAGCACCTGAAGCTTTGCACAGCCCTAACCGTGCTCCAAAATGCAGATCTCAGAAAAAGTCTTACAATGAAGTCAATGTCAATGCTCCATTAGGATCAACAGAACTGCAATTTAGCTTGGTCCTGTATTGTCTTCAAGATGAAAGTCCTTGAAGTTGGAAGCTGAGCCCTCTGGGTAGCTCCAAGACCATGTGGAGTTTCAGTGAAGTTGCTAGGGCTCTGGGGGAAAGGAGGCGTCTAAATTCACATGGACAGGTGCCCTCATGCCAAGACTAGATCCTGTGGCTGTTTCTCAGAGCAAACTCCACCTGACTCCAGTTTGAACTGTCAAAGGTATAGTTTGATATTTTAGAGAAAGGCACATAAATGCAACACAATTCAAGTAGATTCCACAGTATTTTATGACAGTTCAGTTTTCAACAGGTGCAGTATCATCTACTCCCTCGCCCGCTCACTATCCCACAGCAACCCTTCAAGGCTCTGAGCTACTTCAAAAAATGCACAAATTCCACTGCTAGCAACGCTTGTGAAAAATAACAAGTCTCCACAAGCCAGCAGAGCCAATGCTCCAGGATGAGACTGCCACAAAATTAACCTTGGAGCATGTTATCCTATCGCTCTTTTAATTCCTCCATGTCCTTGTTAAATTTAGAAGATTAATATTTTCAGTCACACATCTTGTAGGCAGGTGACCACTGACCTCCAGGCACAATGAGTCAGGATTTTTTGACACCCATACTACTGCAGTGAGGGACATGTGTGCGGCCACCGGACCCACTGGGAAGTGACCTATGAAATGAAGCCACGGGTACTGTCCACCATGGTAATGCACGCTCCTCCCACAGACGCAGTGAGTTTTAACAGAGGATGCTTTGTTACGTCCTCTCTCTCGGTTCAAACAGCCTTCTGCAATTACACATTATGCTACTTTCCCCTTACAGTCTTCTGAAGCGATGCAGCAAAGATGCACCTGCTTTGTCCAGATTATTTTGGATATAATAAAGCCTTTAAATTATAAATAAAGCAGGAAGTTTGAAATAAAGCAAGAGGAACATTACTGCTTTCATAAGCAGCCAAGCTGAAAGTATTCTTTTAACCAACCAGATTTCAGGTACAGGCAGTTCAACAAGTAATGAAAAATATCTTTACACACTGACACATAAGGACCTTGTCTTTTTAAATACATTTTCTGCAGCTCCTTTTAAGAACGCTTGACCAAACACTAGCTCTAACACTCATTTGAATGTATAATTAAGCTCACTGGAACACAAATGCTTTATATTTTCATTTCTTTTCTTCTCCTGTTTTCTTTACAAACTCTGGAACAATTTTAAGCATATAAATTTTATGCTTACGCTTACAATTTTCTCTCCTTTAAATTACTCTAGTCCTTTAAACCACAGAGCATTCAGAGAGAGCTGTCATTGTTAAAGTCAAGTCAGCAAATATCCACGTCACTGAAAATGTTTCCAATGATACAATAATATTTTGATCTAAATAGCTGACAGTACAGCATGGATTTTCCTGTTTCTCTGATTTCTCAACAACTGTTTTGCATTTAGCAGTGCTGCAGTTTCTACTGATTTGCTCAGCACTTTCCTTTGAGCCCTTCAAGTCAAGGGTAGGAGGAATATGCAGCTTCTATTACTCCTAATCAACTCCCCAAATCTAATTCAGAATCCATAAAAACTCTGCTGTTTAATGGTGTGAAAAACCTTCTGAGCATTTGCAGGTAGTTCGGAGTCTGATCACTACTTTAGCTGCTGACAGTGTTTGCATTTTACCTCTGGACTGTCCTTCAGGGCATCGGAGCGGGGTAGCTCTGAGAGCTGGGAGAAGCGCCGGTCATAAATACACAGGTGGAGATGTTTGTCGAGTACTCTGAAATCTTCATAACTCCGCTTTACAATCCAGCTTCTGCCCTGCAGAGGGAGAGAGAAAAGCACCACGTCTTCATATATTCACCACCAACTCAGACCACTCTGATGAGCAGTGTAAAATGACAATCCTACCAGAAGCAATTCATCCTTTGCTGCCAATCTTCCCTTACGAAACACTTGAGTGTAAATACTGGAAGCCCAGTTCTTATTTTTATTTTAAACTTCAGCTTGTAAACAGTTTAAAATGCAATGATTCAACCTCATCCCTGGCATTAGCCCCTCAGATTTAATAAAGTTACACGGGGACTTGATCTGACCCACTAATTCTAAAAGATGATGTGTGTAAAAGCCTGTTTGTTCTGCCTATCCTACAAGGGTTTCATACCTTGCTCACCCCCAGAGTACCTCTGCATCCAGGTAAATTAAAATAAGATGTTGCAAGCTGTAGAGCTTAGCCTTAGTGGCTTCAAATGGGACTTTACATGGACACAAAACACAACCAGCAGGTCTGGAGTCCGTACCATTGGTAGTAGACATTCAAGAGGAAGGTCATCAGTGGAAGATAACTTGGCATTCACTGAGAAACTGCTTCTGAGTATATCATTTTCCCAATTTAAAATATGGTCAAAAATACATTTCATGCTGTTGCTGCCTTGGGAGACACAGAAGCAAAATCTTACCCTAGCAACAAAGTGCAATTTATTTTTGTGAAGCTTTTAATACACAGACACCATGTTCCAATTGCTTCCCAGCCTATTATAATCAATAAAAACTGTTGCACTAATACAGCAGTTTACAGTTTCAAAGTACTTTATGAACAGTAATTAATCCTTTCAGCTCCCCTCTGAGGGAGGCAAGATGATGATCTCTCTGTTTTATAGAGAAGGAAACTGAAGCAGGGACTAAGGACCTCCACAAAGCATTTCCATCTTCCCTTTCCAAGCCAAGATGCTTTTTCAGCCTGACTTTCCTAACAAAGAGTGGCATGAGCATTTTTTTTTAAATCCCACCAACACAGAGCACTCTACACCCAGTGGGGAGAAAATGAGACAATGAATCAAGCACGACACGTTAGTCATGTTGCTTAATATGCAACTGAGAGGGGCTCCCATGCTGAGCGCCTGAACAGAACAGCACCATAGAGATGGGGAGTGAATTTGCTCCATATCACATACAGCAATGTTACTGCAGAGCCAGGGATCCGAATTCAAGAAATGACATGAAACGGCCAATACGCACAACCGCGACACATGGTATATAATAGGTGAAGTGGAATGCGAGAGCCAGTGGCAACCACAACACTAAAACTTGTCGCCTTGTTTTCAAATATTTTAAGACGTGCATTTGTAGGTCTGCTAGAGTCTGCTGTCCAAGCTCTGGCCGATGGGTCTAATATAGCCCATGATGGTCTGGACTCCACATTGTGGCTTCCTAACCCCTGGCACAAAGGTGCAGTCTGCAGACACTGCTGGTCCCATCACACAATGTTCTGCTAAGATCCAAGCAATTGCTTGCTCAGGCCAAGCCAAGCTACAAAGCTGCCAGCTGAGATCTTCAGGCCCAGCAGCTCTCTATTAAAAATTAAGCTGGCCGAAACAAAATGGAAAGTGGATAAAAAATACAAACTTCCTACCACATTTGTGCCCAGTTCCCCACAGTTTCTTGCAGAAATAAATCAAACTTGTTTCTATTTATGGCTGCGCTCTATGTCAGGAGTGACATAAGAAGCTCTTATTTCCTCAGAGACCCTGTTTGATTATTAAAATCTCTGTTTGCACACTATTGTGCAAGCTTAGGATGATGCCCATTCTTCAATGTGGGAATTTGCTTAATTTTTTCAGCAACTTAATTTGCTATTTTTAACTGCTAAATCCAAATGTTATTTACCAAAGAAGTGCCAGCAATCACTTTGGGGTCAGTTAATACACAAAGTTTCTACAGAAGCTGTAAATTCAGCTCTGTAATCTCCTCAACAGCACTAGCTATTTTCTGTCTAATTCATATATACATATATATATATATAT